GAAGCATATAGAAGAATGTATAGTCTGATCCTATTTATATGGAAAGGGGACACACACATATAATGCTTAAATATATAATATATAATGCCTAAAATATATGTGTATAAATATTGCATATGCTTAAAATATTTCTGGATAATTCCCAAGAAACTGAGCAATGGTGCACTTCTGAGGCATGAGACTTTCCATTTTGAATCATTCCAAATGATTTGATTTTTCTTTTATATGCTGCTTTTTTTTTTAAATTGAAGTACAGTCAAATTTACAGTGTGTTAATTTCTGGTGTACAGCGCAATGTCCCAGTCATGCATATACATACATATATTCATTTTCATATTTTTTCCATTAAAAGTTATATTTTGAAAACCATTAAAAGTGAAAAAATATATATCTATATATATGTTTTTTTCCCCAAAGCTTTATAACTTTTTTTGTGTTCTGGTTTAGAACATCTTCCTGCACATTGTGGACTTGTCTGATCCCAAGGCAATCTGGAAATTTGTGGAAAATTTCAAGCAGGAACACACACTCCATGTCCTGGTGAGCTTTGTAAACATAAGTAGGGGACAGATCTCAACGCGTGTGTGTTTTTCGTCTGGGTGGATGCTGACTGATGTGTGTGTTTGTGGATCTTTACGGCGACCCCTTAGTGAGAATCTTTCATGGTGAGGCCTGTTAATGTCACCCAGTTCACTCACTGGAGTGAACCTCACCACATGAGATTTGTGAGGAAAAGACACGACCATCCACTGGGTCTGTGAGGAGATGGGCAGGTTTCATTTTTTGCGTAGAATGATGATTTGTATAGCTGTATGCCCGGGCTCTGTAGGTTTGGGGATTGGTGTATGGAACTTAGAAGCTCGGGGAAATAAAAGTAAAAAGCTCAGTCCAAGAGAATGCCCTGCTGCAGGCTAGCAAATCACCGTGCGTACTAAGCACGCACTCTACCACTGAGCTATCCCCTCCCGCCCCAGATAGGTTCTAATGGGCTTCAAAATGTTCGTTGAGGCCCAAATCTGCTGCGATCCATTTAAAATGTGCTGGGGTTTGTTCTGCTGTTACTCTTCACACTGCTGATGCTAATAGCACTATCTTGATTTGAAGCATGTAATTGAGAGCCATTGAAAGCAATTTTTCATTAGTGCAGATAAAATCAGTTTACATGTGCAAAGCTACAAAAACGGCATATTCGATTCTGAAAGTAGTGACTCTTTGAGCACCTTTAATGTTATGTATTTCTAAAACCCATTGCTTTTGGATATGGTTGCTAATAAGCACTTTACAAAAGAAAAGGCAACCTTGACTATTTTTCTGGTTGAGTCGTTGTCCTTTAAAAGTAACTCAGCAGTAGATTTCAAAATAAGAATTAAGTGCAACACTAATGTGTGTAAATATTTCATTTTTAAAGTCGTGTTGAAAAAGTCTTTGCATAGTTCTGGATTCTTAGATTCACAGCATATGTATGTGCACAAGAATATCTTTAGTTTTTGACACTTTGAAATAAAGGAGGTAGCTTAAGGAAAAAAATCAGTAATAGCAGGATGGCTTTGGAGCGTTTGAAATGTAGCTGGACGCTGGTCTAGACAAATTCCTGGGGTGCTTTATTGGGAATTAGGTTGCTCGGCCAAGCCCTGGTCATTGGAGGTCTCTGCCTAGTCCTGCGGCTGAGCCTGCTTCACAAATGACAGTGTCCAGGAAGGGGTTTGGAGTGAAGGCACGGCTGAGGAGAATTGTTGTCCCATGAATGTGGGTGGAAGGGAAGCTGTTTGGTTTGGCAACAAGTCCTTTGGCCCTATTTTGAAATAAGAACTGTGATTTCCAGATCAATAATGCAGGCTGCATGGTCAATAAAAGAGAGCTCACGGAAGACGGACTTGAAAAAAACTTTGCCACCAACACTCTGGGTAAGTAGAGTAGTTTTTCTTGTCTGTGTTTAGCAAAATAAACGTAGACATGGATGGCTCCGTGGAAGGATCAGAAAAACAGTGACCAGCTCTTTGGGTTCTTGGTCCTTGGCATGCATGACTGCCTTTGCTTGAAGTTTATCCTTCAGTGCATCACCTTTTCTTTACGAAACACTGTTCTCGTGTTTTTTGTAATATGTGTTAGTGCCAGAAATACTTAGTATTGTTAAAGCGTATTTTTCTAGGAAGCTCAGTGCTCATTATAGACAGGACTTTGGTGAGAAGAGCAGGCTCATCTTAGGTAGAAAGTGCAGATGTGAAAACTGCAGCCAAGGGAACCTCCAGCCAGGGCTGAGGAAGGCGCCACCATGAGTCAAGAAGATGGACCAAGAAGGGCATCCACCTGGAACACAGGACCCCTGGGTTTTGGTTCCTGCTCTGTAATAGCTGATTCATTTTGTGCCAGGCCAGTGGTTCTCAAAGTAGGGTTCCTGGGCGAGCAGCATCAGCATCTCTGGGGAACTTGGAAGAGATGCACATTCTTAGGTCTCACCCCCAGATCTACTGAACCCAAAACCAGGATGAGGCTGAGAAATCTGTTTTAACAAAGCCTCCAGGTGATTCTAATGCCCATTAAAGTTTGAGAACTAATGTACTGGGCTTTTAACCTCTTTGGCTTGTCTCCTTCTTGAACCAAGAGGTCTGGAGTCCAAATCTTCCTCAACTTACAGTGGGGTTAGGTCCCAACAAACCTATTGGAACTTGATACTATCATAAATTGAAAATGCATTTAATCCACCTAACCTACCAAACATCCTAACTTAAACATGCTCAGAACACTTACATTAGCCTACAGTTGAGCAAAATCATCTAACACAAAAGCCTATTTTATAGTAAAGTATTGAATGTGTCATGTAATTTATTGAATACTGTACTGAAAGTGAAAAACAGAATGGCTGTCTGGGTCCAGAATGGTTCTAAGCATATGAGTTGTTCACGCCGGCGATGGCGAGGCTGACAGGGAGCTGTGGCTCACAGCCCAGCATCATGAGAGAGCCTTGTCCTGTGCATCACTAGCCGGAGAAAAGATCAGTATCCAAAATTCAAAGCATAATTTCCACTAAATGTGTATCGCTTTCACGCCATTGTAAAGTCAAAAAATCATCTTTCAAACCCTCGTAAATCAGGGACCACTTCCTCATAGCAAGTTAAGCTTTTAAAAAGTTATTTTAATTAATCCTAAGTCACGAAATGAAGTGCAAGGGTTCATGTGGTTGTCGGGGTCATCAAGGGTGTCTGTTAAATAGCAAACCTCTTCCCACCCAAGAACTGAACAATTCGAGGAGTCAGATCATGGAGTAATGGATAAGAGCCAGATATCACTGCTGTCACTGGAAAGGCTGGCTGAAGGGCGTGGCTCCTGTGAGAGCCCAGTGGCTTCCTTGGTATTGAACCCCACAGTTAGACATCCTCGCCTGCTTTGTTACAGCTGGCTGGCCTCAGGTAGACACTCCCCCAAGAAGAGGGGGAAGTGGGGAGCAGAGCTGAGCAAGCTCAGTCTTTTGCTCCCAGATTTTGCTCCACCTCCTCGCAGTGGAGGGAGGAGGGCGCTGAGGGGGGCAGCATCGCGCTCACGGTCCTCTCTCCGCGAGGAAGGGAGCGTCAGGAGTGGGGGAGAACCTTTCTCCCCAGCAATGAGGTTGCATTTATTTCTTCTGTTTTTAAAATTAAAAAAATTTATTGAAATGTAGTTGATTTACAATGTTTTGGGTGTACACAGTGATTCAGTTACACACATACATGCACATATGTATTTTCTGACTCTTTTCCATTATATACTATTACAAGAAATTGAATATAGTTCCTTGTGCTCAAACAAATACCTGGAAGCTTGCTATGAAATGGTGCAGGCTTAGTACAAAATACTTCCATCTTTTGCTTTGTTCTAAACGTGGTATCCTTGCCTAAGGTACCAAAAGTATGCAAATGCCGGGTCATGCCAGGGGGCGGGGTTGGGGGTGTTGCCTTCTTGCTCTACTGGATGGCAAAGACTCCTAGGGGACCACAGCTGGCCTCCCAGGTAGCTGCTCTCCGGGACCCACCTCGTGATCAGCAGGGCCCAGTACCAAACAGAAATGGGGAGGCAGGGCC